AGAGGTGCCTGGACGGCTTGTCGGCGAACAACCTGGTCGATCTGCTGGCCGCTCTAGAGGTGAGATGATGACGACGCGTTATTGTTGTTGTTGTGGTCTCCACGTTGAGAACCGTTCCGGTCTCCGGCCAGTACACGGCGCGCACCGGCGTGTTATTGCTTGTGGCGGTGCGTTCATTGCAGCATCGTTGCTGGGTAAGGATAAAGGCTAGGCTACGGTGTACTCGGATACAACCGTGGGTTAAGGGGTATGTGGAATAATAGGAGACAGACTGCTTTTGGAGGTGAGTGCAAATCGGCGTCTATTCGGGGGTGGGTGGGGGATTGGAGTTCGGGTAGATGTAACGGTTGTCGCTTCAAGGCGAGCGGACACCTGGGCGCCTGGAGTTTATTTACTAAGTAAGCATTTTGGATGTTATTTGGAATCGGAATTTCGAGGGTGAGGGGACAAAACTAAGTTTCTTCGCGTGTAGGCGGTCCATGTATGCACAACGCGAGTAATGTTGGCGTTGCCCCGCGTGTGTGGTGTCGCCCCAGGCCGCTAGCGTCACCGCGCTCAAGTTCAACCGGAACCACAACCTGAGGCGGGCCCTAGGCCGGGTGGGCTTCATGGCGAGGGGGCAGCCGGTGGCCCTGTGCCCCATGCTCGAGCAAGAGGTGGCGGGATATAACCTGCTGCTGCAGACGCTTGTGGTGCTGTCGCGCGGGCTGGACGTGGATAGCGGGGAGCCGGTGGAGGGCGGGGCTGGGTGGCCCTTCGCACAGGTGTGACTGTGTGCGTTGTGTTTATTTTGTTATTTGCATCGACCGCGCTGACCGGCTGACCAATGAAAAAACGCCAGTCTCGGTGTGTGCGTGGAGAGGGTTACTCATGTAAACGCATGCCGTAGTCGTTAGACCATTGACCTCGCATCCCTACGAAAAAAGCCGGGACGGAGCGATGTGCGGGGTTCTCACCGGATCGGGGGGGGGTTACTCCATGTAAACGCACAACATAGCCATTTGGCCGTTGACCTCGCATCCCTACAACGCCGGGATGGAGCGATATGCCGGGTTATCGTGAGGGGGTCCCGCGAGACGTTGAAATGTTTGCTGTTCCCTGTTGGTGAACAAAGGTGTTGCGTATATTTATGTAGCCCACCTTCAAGAATCGCCGTCCATGCTTTGGTTGGCCTGTGATGTCCACTTAGCGCATGTAGAGCTCGAGCGGGTGCTTGGAAGGCAGTATAACAGGTTGTATATTGGTGCTAGAATTTGATGTCTTGTCGCTGCCACCACCATGCCGCCAAAACTCCGTACTGACGGTACGATGCAACTCGGCATGATGGGTCGTTATATTCTCACACGTGTATTCCTTAGGCAGCGTTTCTGACGAGAAAAGATGTGTTCGTTGTTTGACGCTGTTATTTTGACCCGCAATGATGATTCCTCCCACCCTCTCCATAAATGATCTCGGAGACATGCTCTACCGTGTCGCACACGTTGCCACCGTGGCATGCCTGTCAAGGGCCATCTGTCGAGGTCGACCACAGAGCTGATACTTGTGTTGTCACGGTTCTATGATCCCGTCCCGTCCCATGATATTCCGTCCCATCCCATGTCATCCCGTCCTGTTCGATTCCGTCCCATGACATGCCGTCCCATGCCGCTGGTACGTACGCGAAGGCATGCCTGGTGCAGGCGTGCAAGTGCGTGGTGCTGGCCTACGCGGACCGTGAAGAGCACGCGATGGGGCTGGAGCTCACCCTGCCGGGGCTGGATCACTCCGCCCTTGTGGAGGAAGTGAAGCAGACAACCCCGCTCGTCATTTTCGCGCTCGGCAGCATGATGTACATCTCCGAAGAACAGGTGAGAACCCTAGCTTTTTTTGTTTTCTGTGTCATGCGGCATACCATGTGGTTGGCAGGATGGTTTCGCGTCGAGCGAAGAACAAAGCAAGCCCTGTGAATGTATTTTGACGGTGAAATAGTGGGCCAGGGTGATTCTCGTCTCCGAACAACACGCGTTTTTCGTTTGTGCAGTGTATTTTTGCAATCTCGTCGCTTGTCTTTTCGTGTCAAGATTTTGTTGGGACCGTATGGGCGGATTTTGTTGTCACGACGACGCTCTGGCGTATACGAACGTAAAAGATAGCCCGGTCGGTGGTCGGGATTCGTGATACCATCTGTTCTAGCTGTCGGCACAAATAGCCATACCCCCGTGATGCACGGGCAAGCGGGTTGCGATGTGAGGACCGAGAGAGGGGCGAAATATGTTGGAAGCCCGCACAACACACGACAAGATGTGTCACTAGAAAATACAAGCGTCTTGGCGGTGTCGGTTGATGCGTGCTTGGTGATGACGCCTTTTGGTTGGCATGCAAAAGGGTCCATGATCTGACAACTCTTTCGCTTGTAGATACGTGGGTGAAGTAGCTACGGTAGCGGAGCGTCTCGCGTGGTAGGATATCACGTGTTTGTTCCTGTGGACTCCCAACGCAAAGAAGTTTGTTGTTTCTTGCTGAACGAAATAGAGCACGCAGACTCAAAACCCTAACCCCAACCCCAACCCAGCGATTATATACTTAATCCAGTATGTTTGCTCTTTATAAAACTGCGTAGACTGCTTTCTGTGCTCCCCGTTTCCCCGGCGTACTCTATTCTGATCCGCCCTTGATGATACCCCTGCTGTGCTACTCATTACTATACCACAACAGGTGCGTCTCAACGTGGGCTGGATGTACGGCTGCATGACCCGTCTGGTGAGATGCAACAGCGAAGAGGTGCGCCACCACGTGCAGCAGATCCTCATCTACAAGATGGGTCCGGCCATGGTGCCGCAATCGCGTGCCCCCTAGGGGGCAGTATACAAGAAACTGTGTCGTGTGTCACGCCGCGTTTTTTTCTCGACACCCTTTTTGTGAGTCGGGGGGG